GGGGGGGGGGGGGGGGGGGGGGTGTCCAAAGGCAAAAAATTGAGGTCCTCAGAAATGTGATTCCCACCATTCAGAAGCCAAGTCAGCGTGTCAGAAAACATTTTAGTTTCATTTTAGTTTATTAATAGTTTTACTAGTTTTAATTTAGGGGGTTCAACCAAACTTCGCAAACCTCCGCTAGATCCCCCCAGCTAACCTCACACTTGTTCAAAATGCTTTTTTTGCTTGATTTATTGAGGGAGTGGATGAATATCACAAGTCTGTCATTGTGCTAGAATGGCAAACTTATGAACAGGAGGCTTATAACAGGAGAAGGGAAATCTTTCTTTGCGATGTCATTCTAAAAATAATTTGTGCGCCTTTAAGTTAGCAGGGTGGAGGGGTGGGGGGTGGTGGTGGTTTCTCAGAATTTTCTTAGATATGGGTGGAAATTGCAGCCATGCTTATTAGTTTTATTTCTAACTGTCCGATCTCCGGCCCATTTTGACGTTCTTCATGTTTTTTTCAGAGGACTTTTTTTTTTTCTCATTTCTGCAAGAGGTTTATTAGCGGGGTAGTTAGTACTAATTAATAATCCGAAGGAATTTTTGCGTTTCCAAAATGTTGTAGATGTATAACAGAATACCGAAAAAGATAGCGATATGAAACGCAAAACGAGTTCTTCAGCGGGTGGCGTCTTTATAAAAGACCTTACAACTTGAGAAACATTGCATGGTCAAGACAGAGTTTTGCTCGGAATCTCTGTCTTGCGGGGAAGGCGGCTCAAACAGAACCCGGGAATAGAATTGAGGGGAATTCTTTCAAAGCTTCCAACATGCGAATCAGAAAAGGCCGCTGCATTTCTATTGGTCATCAGCTGAACTTCTCACAGCTTTGACAGGTCGTGATTTGTCGTGACCACTCCCTGGTCGTGAACCAAGGCCAAGCCAAACTAGTCAACACGTTTGCGCTACACGGTGGTCTTGCCGGCGTTTGTGAAGATGAGTTGCTACAATTGTCATCAGAATGGAGCGAAACGATGCAAAGGATGTTTGCACGTAACCTATTGCTCTAGGCAATGCCAGACTCAGCACTGGAGCAAACACAGGCCGAACTGTATTTCCACACAGTCCTCACTGAACGCTTTGTTCGACGCCTGCCGTATGGACGTGTTTCCAGTTTCTTCCGTAAGATGCGACTATGGGTTTGACAATATGCAGTTATTCCGTGGAGATGTGATGACCCCTGAAGGTTTATCGGCGGAAACCATGTTGATGGGCCTTTATATCGAGTCATTTGGAAGGACATTGAAATGATGAATACGATGGCGGCGCCCACTACCCAGTGTTGAATTCAATTGGAGCATCAAAGGAGATGGAGGCACACGAAAGGAATGCTTTGGATGAGTTCCTTCACAAATACATCAACAGCGTTTTGGCTCGGGTTGGAGACCGCGTTACTCCCCGTTACTGCATTGTTTGGCTGCAGAACAAACTGGTCATTGCCGGAATTGGTCTCACGCGATTGTTACTGAGTAAAGAAGTTAGCCTTACGGGCGCGCAAATAAAAAGAATGGTAAATGAAATTCATCAGAGGTTCTACGGCTTCGTCAATATTGAGTCTCCAAACATTGTTTTACAGTCTGTAAATAACATTGAACTGTTCCTGTTTTGTTTTTCAGGCAAGGTTATACTTGCAGACTGCATTTTGCACACCGCGGCATCTGTCCCTAGGGATGCACCCGCCGCGCCGACTAAACGCATGACGACTTTCCCACAGTACCGCTGGAAGTTATCTTTAGGTTTATATTAATTCCTGCACAGAATCTTCCCTTAAATTCGTGTTTGAATGTTCCCCTTTCTCTCCTGTTTCTCAAAGTTCAAACGATCTCTAAAACCTTTACACCGGGGATGACAGAACTACATGCAGTAGTATTCTCTCAGTGCTACAAACAGAAGTGACAAGGATGCATATCAAGCTTAGATGTGATAGGTTTTTGATGAGAAACTGTTGGGTAGGCTGCAGTTACTTGTTGTTTTTTAGGTGGTACTTTATAGTATAAAATCATGTCTTGAGATTTTTATGTTTTGGATTTGAATGAGGTCTTTGGGGAGGGGAGAAGGGTATTTACCCCTTCAGGCCATCTCTCTTTCCAGGGTTCCCCCACCATGTTTTACCTCCAGGATCTATCCAAAGAAAACATGCTATTGCATGACTGGTTTCAACCTTTTGATCCACTCATTGCTTAAACAACAGATGCTATACTTGTATATGGTACTTCAATTTGCAGTGGAGGTCATATAAATTATTTAGAATATTTCCACATTCAATCGCACTTAATTTTTGACTTGCTACGCATGCACTGCATTTAACTGGGTTCTTTTGGCAACAAAGAAAAAGCTGAGAATTGCTGGGTTCTTTGCATTGTTACCTTTTCTAACATACCTTTGTAATGAAAGACTAAAACCATCAATACACTGTGTTCAATTATGAAGAAAAATAGTACAGATAGCGGGGGCATTAAGCAATGAAAACGATCCCTGTTATGACGCCATGTTTCTGTTTTGCAAACCTTGTGCATGTGGTGAATTGCGTCAGGAAGAGCATGCGTGAAAACTGTGTTCGGCCACCTCAAGGTGGCTCCCTAGAGTATTTATGAACACCCTCCCTATAAAGTGCAAGTTAGAAAAGGAAACTTAATTTATTTCTCTTAGAGTTTTCCCTGTAGAGATTTACCAGTATGGGTACTGTTAAAATAAGGCTTATTTTTTGGTTGTCAATTTTTGGATTAAGGCCAGTACCATCGCAACATCTCATCTAATGACAGGCAGATATATTCCTCATTTCGGCCTAAACTCCTTAATATTTATACTTTCCTTCGGTGGAATTTTCTCATACTTTGCCACATCATGGAAATGATATTGCCTGACAATTTGAATTGGTAAAAAGTCAAGGCTGTTCAGAAGGTTTTTCCAATATTCTGTAATTTGTTATTCTTCTAAATATATAAGATTAGCTCTGACAGATTTTAACAAAAATAGGGTATTTTATAGGAATTGTATGTGGTTCAAACTGAGCCAAATGTAAAAAAAAAAATCACCAAACGAGAGAAAATTTACTGTCAGTTTTGCTTTCTGTGCTCATGTTGATGTCATAAAAATCGAAAAACACTGGTGTTTTCCTTTGAGTGCGCGCAGATCACTTGAGCCAGGGCACTTTCTGCCCTGCCTGAGCTTTCGACTTGCGTGCGCGTACAATCGTAAAACTATAGGGAGCCACCTTGAGGTGATTGCTCAGAATTGCATTGCGCATCCCTACTGTGCACAATTTTTGCGTCATTAGCGCGCACACATGAGCGCATGCATATACACAACATACAAAATGGTGGCTTTTGCTAAACGGCTTGCCTTGTGAGTGACAAATCATCATTTTTCCTTGGAAACGAGTACTGGGACAAAACAATTTTTTTTTTAGTTCGAATGCAGCGATCACCTT